TCTCCAGAAAAATTGTACGGGAATTTTCTTCGGGATTGAGGAAAGGTGCTGATCGCCAAATTTATCCAAAGCTGTTGTTGCCCTTGGCTCGAAGGATCTTGGCTTCGCTGAATGTAGTACCCATTACGCTCACATTCGCGGTCGCTGGAGATACCTTCACTTTTTCAATATTTCACTATTTTTCCAGCGATTCATAAGAGCGAATAAGGCCCTATGTTGAAAACTCCATGGTACTGTTGCACAGCTTTAAGGTAGGATGCAGTTCAGCCACGCAAAAATCCGATCATCCAAATGTCAGTGATTCTGTAGTACACTTTCTGAAAGATCACATCAAAAAGCGCCCAGGTAATCCTTGAATGCCTACGGTTGTGCTGTCCAATTGAGCATTCAATTACACCAACAATCCTCAGCGAGTGTGAAATGCATGGCTCACCCCTAAGATGTTGAATGATAATCTATATTTTTATTCTGTCATTCTTGCCCTTTACTTATGTAACCGAACAATTGATTCTGTGAAATGTTCACTAATTGGCTGAATTTCTTAACATTTTTTTCAGAAGCACTAGAAATTAGCTAAATTTTATCCGGGATTGAACTCCTGAGCCATGCATATGACTTCTCTTGCCACTGCCTCACCCCCGCACGCCCTTTTATCCTGTTTCGATGAGTCAAAGGACATTTGTATTGAAAGCCTTGTTCTAAGTGGTCAATTAGCGTAAAGAGTTCCTCACTAAAGTGCCCTTCCAGCGATGTTTACCGGCGCAGTCATGTTCTAGTAGAAATTGCCTCTCAATAATACGTGGCCAACGACATTTAGGTTCATCTCTATTAGATCCCTAAGTTGCTTTTCAGATAATCCCTGCGCTGATCAACTATCAGCTTATCAACATTAAGCCCACTTATATAATGAAGTTTTCATGTGATTTAGCAGATTCTAGGTTTACAACGACGCTGAAACCGAAGCCGAAGATCGTATGTAAGCTAGGTGACTCCATTGGAAAATTTTCTTGGATACAATTCCAACTGATCAATATAAAAATTTAAGTATAACTGATAATATGAAATATATAATGTGTCTGATGTGAAATTAATTAAATTCTCAAGATGACCTGAAAATATGAAATTCGGGCGGAAGTGGTGTAGCGGCAAGGGGCGCGCTTACCACGCGAGCGGTTCGGTTATCAAATCCTGGGTCGCGAGTCGCCGATTCCAAACTAGGCCTTCTAATGTTCCTCCGGGGGTCTCGGATACCAATCAGTCCTACCAAATGGAAGTCCGCAGTGCCATCTCGGCGTACCAGATCACTGGTTTTTATCCTGTGGCAGATACTCAACAAAACAGTCTCTTGAGTTGACCTACAGTCCGCTCGGCCGCGAACACAAGTCAGTTGTACTCATGCTGACATACGCATTTCACATAAACGCCTCGCTCTCACGAAAGTGTACAAATGGAAGTTACGAGTAGTCTCCGCTCCAAAAAAGATTGATCGCAATGCAAAATGCTTTATTTGCTTACTACATATGCCGATCTTTATAATCTGAAATTGTTGATATCTCTCGAAACTCGCCAGTGCATATCTAGGGTTTTCTATTCAATATGATAAATTGTATTACTAACTGACTGAATACGCAGGTCCACGCTCAACGACTTTGCACCACGGGACATTCACACATTGTGGTCGCAGTCAATTAGCGAGCCGACAGAGAAATGAACTTACTTATCCGGGCGGCTCGATTCCGCCAAAAAAAGAAGGGGCTCTGGGGTGATCCGTGATTTAACTAGATTCCATTTTCGTTTGTCCCTGGCCAGAAGAATATAAATCCCTTAGTCTCTGACAAGAACTCATCTCCTGCTGATCCCGCCGTGAAACCTGACTATGCCCTTGGCTCTGGTATGACTGGATACAATAATGACAGAGTACATTTATGCTGAGGCATAGGTCGCCTGCTATACCGAATAACACAATTCCTGTGCCAAGAACCAACCACTGTGTAAAAGTCAAGCGAATGTGCGTCATTTAGTGGCGTATAGTGTATCGTATACGATATACTAGGACTGTGTGTGCAAAACTTAGGGACGAACGCAGCTTTCCAACGACGTGTTACTGGCGCGTAAGATGACTCTATGGAACCTAACCACACATACAAAGAGCTGTCACAGGGCACTAAAGAAAGCAGTTAACAGGAACCGTTAAACGGTCCACAAAGCTATCAAAAGGTTATGATACTTCATCTGTCTCGTCCTTAAGTTTTGCACACCAGTGTAGTATCGTAGCGCTTGCATTTTTCATTTCTTCACACAAACATTTGAAGCAAAAAATAAAAACACAAAGCTAATCAGTGATGTTTACTCGTCATTATTTACAACTTGATTGCATTTCGCAAGAGACCAGTGGATATAGAATTTAAAAAAAATATTGAGCCCCTCATCGGTTCCCTAGTTTTCGGAGTCCTTCTTAAGTCTCAAGCCTCAATTTGTACGAAATGAATAAGGGTTAATGTTTAATTTTGAGCGGAAAAAGGTAAGGTCATTTAGAGCAAAGTTCGTTTAGAACAATGGATTTAAAAGTGCTTCCAATTTGGCGTTTTTCTTCTTTGTTTAAACCGAAGAATAACAGCTGTCGAAACGCCGATTTTCGCCGTCTGATTTTTCCTAATTTTGAGCTTTATACCTGAGTAAAGATACAATTTTGAAAAAAATTACAACCACGAATTTGTGTAGAGCAGACTAAGTACGCTTCAAAACAATATGAGCGGTTTTCCGGATGATATTTGTACTGATTGGAATTTATACGCTCGAAAAAAAAAAACATGCGATATTATACTCCAACCTAATATTTCCAGCCATTTTTTATATTTAATTTATTGAATTTTATTAATTCATACGTACTAAAATTACGTAGAATTATTAATTACCTATGTTATAATAATTGACTTTATTGATTGTTTTTTGTGCCGTTGAACTACCCTGTGATACTGTACTGTTGTACTACTGTGCTAAAGAAGATTCTCTCTCTCTGCATTCTGGCAATCGATCATTCGATCTTTCAAGTTGTCCTATCCCCTTGTTCCTCCCCCCCCCCCGCTCATTCTTGAAGGATAAAACCAGCGTTTCGAGGATCGGCTCGCACAACTTAGCTATTCCACATAAAATGCAGCTTTTGAAATTCCAAAACGATCTACATATCTCTTGTACAATTTTGAAGCCGATCTCGTATAACTATACCGCTTAGCAGTCCGCTTAGACTACGATTTTTCATTTCGTTTAATGGATTCGAGGACGCTGCCGGAAAGCCGAGCTTATGACCCGTTGGTGTCGAAGAAGCGAGGCGATTTCTTAGGATTTCATTTAGAAAATTGGCTACGGCGGCTGAATCTGTTTGTGAAGAGAGAAAGCCTATATCTTCATCTTCGCCGGCACAAAAAACCACAGAACTCGGCGATGCACAACGTTGATTGCTTTCTTGGAATGCATCACAACTTTTAGCTGGATCACGTTAATGGCCGATTAAGTTGGAGTTATAATACGACTTGTTGGGGTCTGGTTTGAGGGCGGGGGGGTTGTAGCGGAGGAGTTGAACCATAGAGTGGTCGCGTGGTGAAAATCACCCTTAAGGCATTGACGTCAAAGGACCTATGTCTATTAACTTTTTTCAAGATAAACTACGCTGAGCTCGAAGCATGAAGGTATGGCAGATGATTCAAGAGTCAACCCATTTACTTAAAATTTTGTCCTCGAACCAGTCGCGTGTTTGAGTTTTTCATTGAAATCCGTAGCGTAGTTTGCCGTACGATGGATCGAAAAAACTCGGTCTTCCTTCCCGAGGCTTTAGAACTGCAACGATTTCTCGTAGTACTCAAGTCTTGGCCTAATCTATTAACCTCTATCAACAAGGGCTAGAATTTACAGCGCAGTTGTGGCGGAAATTGCATTCATTTATTGACCTAAGTTCTTGGTGCGTGCCCAGGCAGTTATCAAGGCTTGTACCCGTACCAGTTGTCAAGGCTTATAGAACAAACCAATCACCTGTCGATTTTTAACCCAAAGCAAATGCATGTCGTGTTCCAGTGCTACTGCTTAGCTTTCAGCACCCGCACGACTTCAGAGATTAGTTAGCCGAACGTACCCCCTTTTTTATGTGAATTTCTGACAGAAACACGATCGCACGGCGCAACAAAATGCCATTATGATCGATCGATATTCATCTAACACGTGTCACCCCTATAATTCTTAGCGAAACAGGGGAACATGGCGCATCTTGAGGGTTTCCACTGGAACTTGCTCTTATCTGCAATTTTACCCCGTTAGCAAACTTTTGCTGAAGCTTTCTGTAATTGGAAATATTCACCTATTTCCTTCCATTTTTCCCAGTAAAATTGTCTGGCTAATTCTCAAAATCCGGGTGAGAAGGCTTGTGGCAAGCTAATTCCTTTGAGTCTTCCTCATTGGCTTCATTCATTGGAACCGACCATTCTTCTTTCCTGCCGTGAAGCCCTATGCAAAGCCATTATGAAACAATTTCACGGCCATTTCCGTGGAAATTGTGAAGCCAAACGGTTTGATTAGTTCCCGGCTTCCCTCCTGTACACCGCTTGCTCCATCCTTCCACAATCGGGCCGTTTGGCTTCGTATTGACCATTACGATGGTGTATGCATTCAACAGTTATTGGCTACACTAAAGAAGAAAAACGCTCTTTGAAAAAAAGCTTGCCAAATGCGCAAAGACTTTTCCGACAACCTAATATTTTCTTCTATATTTGCTTCCGTGAAATTAGTCGGCTAATTTTCAAAATTGCATCAGTGTGAGAAGGCTTGTGGCAAGCTAATTCCTTCGAGTCTTCCTCATTGGCTTCATTCATTGGAACCGACCTTTCTTCTTTCCCGCCGTGAAACCCTATGCAAAGCCTTTATGAAACAATTCCACGGTCATTTCCGTGGAAATTGTGAAGCCAAACGGTTTGATTAGTTCCCGGCTTCCTCTCTGTACACCTATTGCTTCGGCTTCCACAACAGGTTTGTTTGGCTTCATATTGAGCCCACAAAGGACCTAGCTTTTTTATTCCATCGCCTCCTAGTTTTTCTCGACGTTTTTTCCCCTCTTGAGAAGTATTGACGTGGCATCATTAAAACCAGGTTAAATCGGCGTCTTTCGGGAGTAAACAGTTGACATTTAGCTGGCATTATTATTTTTATTGTATAAGGTTTATCAATGGTCTGCTCTAAAAACAATGTTTAAATTTCGAGGCTTTTTTTTTAGACACAATCCAATACGAATTATCGTTGACGTAAAAGCGCTTATGTGTCGTTGCTTGGGAAAGCACTCCGACAATAAATTGATGCTCCCACTGGCAGAACACTTCTTCTTTGGAATGGCAGGTTTCTTGGCCCGGACTTTTCCCGAAAAATGATATTTTTCTCTGTTTCAAGATCACTATTTTTAGGAGACAATAGGGGATCACCGATTGGAACTTTCTAACCCGATTTCCGGTTGCGATTTTAACGGTACGACCCAGCTACCCTAACGATCATTTTTTGCCAAATTTAGACATCTTTTTGGATTTCTGCCAAGTATGATTTTGCTCTGTGATTATATAAACATGCTTCATTTGAAAGAATTCAACCCCAATAAGTTCCCAGGGTTACTCTCGTGATTTATTTCAATACGTTTCAATTCTCCGTGCCCATTTTCATTTTCATTTTCAATCCATTCCCTTAATTTGATATTCAAAATTACCGTATCCGTAGTTTGATTGCTTACTTCCGGCTATACTTATTGCTATGGGTTTATCTCATTAGCCAGCACCCTCGCGGACACTTGCTCTCGGATGTACCCAGTCTGACTGAATGAATGGTCATTGACGCCTAAGCTAATCGGCCGAAGGCCACCAATCATCAATCTCCCTTAATTTATTTATTTGCTTACTTATTTGCACGAAAACATTTCTCAATCATACATGCCCCACTTCCTTCTTTCTTAAATACTTCTTATTATATTTTATGATATTATATTATTATTTTACCATATTTTATGATATTATATTATTGATTCCCTACTGTATGAAGTTATTATGTTTATAATAGAAACAAGTTGAATCAAACTAATCTATTTATTATTATCTTGATTACGATGTTTAAACCGAAATTTAACATTATTTTTCAAGTTGTTCATATTTATTTAAAAGGTGTTTACCATGATGGCACATTTGACCCTTGACTGAAGCTAGGGACTGCCGTTCGCAATATAAATTTCTTAAATGAAGCAGAAATTATTTTGAAGATTTTTTTTGAAATTTTCGATACAATTTACGGCTGTCAATTTTCGAAAAAATCCTGCTGCATTTTTCAGCTCCTGATTTCTTTTTCAAATGTCTTATCTGACTTTCTCTTTCCGCGATTTCCACTTCCGTATAAGTATCACACTTACAACTTAAGTACCTAGATTAAGTACCTAGGTTATTCGGAATGAGTAATTACTTGCCCACGCTGTTGCTCGCTACGACAATAAAACCATGAAGTAGCCCCGCCCCCGTAGACAGGACAATCGTAGTGTTTTCATTTGTTTGGAGCTGCCCAACTGGGTTCTCGTTCTCCATTGTTGCGATTCAAGCCCTCGTTTTGTCACTGTTCAGGAGAACCTAGAGATACTTATTTATTGATTAATTTTACTTGTTCCACTATATTACTATGTAAGTATTTACTTAATTATATACAAATGCCTCAAAGTATTCCTAAAACGTGACAATTTTAATGCTGATAATCACAGTAACTTCGCATAACCATTTACCAATAGATTTCTATCGATAATTTTCGCGGAGTTATATAAATTTGGTAGGATACACACTCCAATAACCGTATTATGTCTCTGTTTATTCAATGAGTTTTTTTGCTTCTTAAATAGCTGTGACCTTATTTATTAACTCGACGTTGACTTAATAGCCTTACCCTGTGTTCTAATTCTGAGTGGAAGTGGGACACGTGGGCGTCAGGATCGCATTGCCGACGCAGATCTTTGTCTCTTGATGCTTTTGAAACTATGGTTCCTCTTCCTCTGGTGCGCTTTGTCAAGGGTTATTCGCCGTGAGATTACGCGGTCTGCTGATTCAATGTGAATCCCAAAGGACATTTTTTTTCAAATCAGCTGTTCTATATACATAATAACGGTAAGTATATCCCATCCCCTATTTCGTAGCCATTCGCTGAATGACGATATTTATCTAGTCATGCCCAGATCGCTCTTTTCTATTGAGCCCTTTTATCTATAACATTTTAGGGTAACATTCAACTCCCTGCGGGTCAGTAGCAGCGGCCTATTTGGCCACCCTACCTTCCAGATTCGACCCTGGTTGTGGTGCAGAAACCTTGTTTGTGTTTTGAAAGCGCAACGAGGGAAACACGTCAAAGCCGTGGGCGCAAACCTAATTTCGGCGCTGTTTACTATGTTTTCGTGTATGTCATTCATTGACGCAGTCACCGATGCATCTTCAGGAGCCAAATTGTGGACCCAACGTGGGAAGGTACCCCGTGTCTCGGCACCAAAGAGATAATGAATTTGATAATATATGATCCATTTTATGATACGCCACGCATTCTTCATCTCCAGAGTCAGAGTTGCTGTGGCGATATGGCGTATAAAAGAGGGCACGCGAGGCCAGACGATATCCAAAACTGCATGTAGTCTCTCAGTTGACCGATTCGGTGGTTACACCCAGGGACGTAAGGCTTGATTGGTAGGACAAAGTATGAATCAGGACTTTCCATGTCCATATGCATGGATGAGTGGAGCCACTTGCCTAGACATCTCGCGCAATGTTAGTCACGAGTGTAAGTAGATATAGTGTTTATCTCAAATTAGCAGGATTATGGTCTGTGAGCCTTTCATGTGAGGGAAAAAGCTGTTGTGGCTTGCAACACTACGTAATTCAGTACTTCATATCATTGCTATTGGTTTATCAGTATCGTTACTTTTGTACATGTGGGCGCTCACGTTTAGCAGGGTGTCGGGGGGGGGGGGCGCGCATTTTTAATAGGTTTAATGATGCGATCAGGGCAAGCTAGGAGGGGGAGAAACCAGGGGAAACAGATTTGTCAAATCTGTCTCGCTCCCCAGGATCCCTTCTCTTCCTGTGGTCTTAGTTTAGCCACGTAGTAATTGGAATCACTTATATAAATCCCCCTCCCAGCAGCGACATGAGCGCCTACTTATGTATGTTTCAGATCATCACAAACCACACGCTGACAGTGGCCAAACCTCGCTATTAGCTCTACGCTCTTTTTCGGAGAACTGAACAACCATGAAAGACCTTATTATGGCCTTATTCATCCAGCCTTGCTAATTGACCGTAGCTAGATAAATGACTGGGACAAAAAGTCAGCAGTTGTTGAGTTTCGTTTCCTAGCGACCCGCAACGCGCAACTATTACTCCGATTAACCACCCTCCAAAAAAGCGCAGAGTGCACTATAGCGTAGTGCACGAAGCCTCCAATTAAAAGGATTGTTGAATTTTCACGGAATAGGTTCAGTGTACCCATTCACCATTAGTCGATGGGTAGCACCCGAATAGCTGAATTAGTTGGTTTCAAGTTTTCTGTCAACGTGAGATAGGGCAATTCAGCGTTTTGTAGTGCTGTCTGGGAGCTCTCACAAGTGCACACTATCACAGCATCTCTGCTTTCTTTCTTTTGAAAAGCTTAGTCTCCTATATAAAAAGCCTATGCTTTTCCATTTACACTCTCATCCTTTGGCTGAAGAAGCCCTGTAATCGGATTCGTTGGAACAATAGGAATCAAGTAGATAAAGTGCGTACATCAATGAACCCCTTGGGATGCGCCATGCACTTTCACTCGGAATCAATCACATTTGATTGAGTACAAGGTCATCACAAAGAGTGATGGGAGGCAGGGCAGCTCAATCATTGTTTCCATCCAGCCCAATAGGCCCGCTGTTAAGCTTGTGACCCTCAGGGAGTTGAATGTTACCCTAAAATGTTATAGATAAAAGCGCTTAATAGAAAAGAGCGATCTGGGCATGCCTGGATAAATATCGTCATTGAGCGCATAAATAAATAAATAAATAAATATCAATAAAAATACAAAAGCTGTAGTACAATTGAAAATAGGAGTTAGTTAGCCTATCGCTGTTTGTTTTGTTTGAGAGAATAGTAAAAATATTATAATATTATCATTGACGAGAAACGGCGTTTTTTTCCAACTTTTTTTGGCCAAACATCGCTCTGACTACAGAACTTCGGGTCTATGGTTACGTGATGAGTCTAGGATCTTACATGCCACCGGCACATCATTTGCTAGCGACTACTTCGTTGAGGTTAACTTCGCAAACCAGTAAAACTAACATACGGTGAAAATGAGCGTGAGTTTCCCCTTAATTACGCTTTCGAAGATCGGAAATCGGAAAGCAACGTCTGAAAAATATGCTTACAAGTATTACTCCTGTCATTTGTGCATCTTTGAGTCGATTTTTATAATACTTGTCCTCAAAACTGCTTCGAGCGAGATTGAAGCTCGCTGTCACATGTGACCTGGAACTTCTGCGCCACTCAGAGCTTGTAAAGCGAACTGATTAGCCCTTGCAACGCCTTGAAAGGTTTTTAATGACCAGTGTGGACTGCTGAGGGTTGACTCCTCCTGATTCTTGATCAGGATTAGATTTTTGTCCTGCTCTAAAGAGCAGCTAATTAGCTCACTCCTCGATAGTAGGAGGAGCCTAGGAGAGTTCCGCTCGATGGGCGTGGCCTGGAAAGGTGGCTTACGATGAGATATAAAGCCTGTATTGCGTAACCTCCATTACTTTTGCTCGGATTTCAGGACTGGTGACCACAGTTCAGTGTGGATCCTAGCCAGTGGTTACTACGTAGCCTCGTTTGGTTATCCTTCCCTACCGTTGCGACCACGTCTTTTCATAGGATTTATCTTTATGCTCATTGCTCTTCAACTACCTTTATGAGTAAAAGGCTAATGTCCTCTGGGCCGTACACCTTTGAAATATCATCTCAAAAAAATTATGTATTTTTCAATCAAAATACCGCGAGACTTATTCATGTAACCCACATTCCAGCCTCAACGGCTGAATCTGGTCGAATTCCATACAGAACGATTTTGCCGGCGATACTTTCCTTGTCTAGTCAACTTGACTGGAGTGAATTCAAAGCTGAATTTTTCGTTTCAGGACCTAACGTCCACTACGAGCACAAATCACTCAGCGTCTCTGCGTAGGATGCAGTTTTTGAGTTCGAGCAGCACCACAAACATAACTGCCAGGTATTTTTTAATTGGAAGGCTTCATTGATGGTAGTTTGAATGTATTTTCGAGAGATATGAAGGATTCATGAATATTGATTAAGTGGAAGTGATAAATTCCACAGATGAAAATTGATAAAATCATCAGCGGGTCTCATCCAGTAAGGGGGGGGGGCAAGGTGGGGGACATGTGACAGTTGCTGCTGCTTACAGCCCCAATTTCAAGTCCCAATTTTCGCCGTAGGAGGAAATTCTCATGGTTGGTGAACCGTTTCCCTTTCGCTCTGACATCCACCCCGGAGATTCATTCCATTTGCAAAATATTGGGCCTACATTAGGCAATGTGATGGGATCTGTCGCCACACCGCCCCCCCCCGTTTACTGGACGAAATTAATTATGCTTTCATATCTGTCTTCTTTACTATACGGTTTTTTTATTTAGTATTCAAATTTTCACCGGTTCAAATTATCAAAGCCCACTTCATTTCAGAAGCCTCGACGACGCCCGTAGTATTGCGGATCTCCAGATGAAGCCATTGTCGAGAGCGAAGAGTCATTCGCCTTTGAAACAGATGCGAACTATTCCTATAGATCGTTGAGTGAGGAGAACGCTTTGGACAAAGCGGTGAGTGGCACACTCTAACACGATATGACATGTGACGGCTTCGAATCTCTGCGTCTCTAACCTTGTCATGACGACATTCTGTCACGGATCTTGGTTATGATCTAGTTCATGTCCAACAGATTTAAGTTCTTCATGAGAGATCCTAATTGAAGTGGCGGAAAAGTGCACATACCGTGTCCTTTCCCCTTGATCCTGCTTCTCTGCACTCCAGCGGTGCCCATTTTCACGACAGATTTCCCGAAGGCATGAGAAGGATGATCTTCTGTAGAGAGTACACGTGTAGCATTCCGTAGAAGTGATGATTTGAGAATATTCTCATCCCTCCCCCTCCCCACCCCCGCCCTCGCCCTTCGAGCCACAGAGATTAAACACCTCCTGAGCACTTCCCTCAAATGACGAGGTTTAGCCTGAACCACGTGATCAGTGAGCTCCTTCTTGGGAATTAAGCAAGTGCAATAAGACTTTGACTCAAATCATGATTATTCGAGATTTGTTCGGTCGGAATTCTGAATGTGGGCTCTCCATTCTCGCACGAGATCCGAATGCCGATTGAATTCTTGACGAGTTTTCACAGCTACTCGTCCGGGCTCAAAACTCGTTGGCCTGGGAGCTAACTAGCTTACATTTTAGGAACCAATATTTGAATTGTTCGCTGCTCTGGGCACATAAAAACATCTAAACCACTGGTTGGTAATCGCTCTATCAAAAACGAATGGAGGACTATTACTGAATTCACGCTGTAATCAATTTCGCCAAGGAACGTAGCTTTTGGACAGAATTTTTGCGGCCACCGCCCCCCCCCCCCCGCCTTCAGAAGGTCGATAGAATCGGCAAAACCTGTTTCATCCTGACAAATTAGTAATTTCACCCTTGTAACTCTGAAGCGCGCCCTAGCGTGAAGGGCATATAACTGCCAAAATTGCTAAAACGGTCAAAATTCCTTCGAGTTACCACGAATACAACCGGATTATTTCAATCGACCTGCCTACTCACCAAAATCATAAAATTGGATCTCCTTGGCCTCTTCCCAAATGGAATGTTGACCCTGATCTGACAACGACATGTGCTTCCTATCCTGAACCTTCAGCTGATGAATTTTCCAGTGAACTTTCTTCGAAATATTTGAGCATACTGTAGCGTCTTATCGTTAGACAGGAAGTGATGTAGTGATAAGTGCCGCCCCTTATCGCACGCGTAGTCCTTGCAAATCTCGGATGGGATCTCGCCCAGGGCAACCACGCCCCTTTTCAAGAAGGGTCGATTAGTTGGTGCCAGAATCGTCTGTTAGCATAGAACCCTGCTTTGTCCATGGACCGCACCGCAACAAGTGTATGGGCTAAATCGCGTCCATAATGCTGCTGTGTACGACTCTGAATAGGAGTAAAATGCGTGGCGCATCCCAAAAGAGGCTGATCAACGCCGGATGCTTCGCCTTTGTCCTTTTACTGTACTGTATTACAGGCCTGTGATCTCATCAAGAGTTCGTGGAACGAGGTGCTGAAGAGCGCAAACGCCACCGGACACCATTTTGGCTATTTTGTCTTTCAACGTGTCTTCCAGAAAGATCCATCGCTCAAATCGACGTTTGGCCTGACACATGTAAGTGATTTCTTAATGCGCTAAAGAGTTTTTCTTTCCAGACATGCTCTATTACCGTACCAAACGGAAATGTAGCATTAAAATCCCATCCTGGAAGGGGCATGTTGTCCTCATAAACCGTGGCGCTGCTCAATATTTACCCCCAAGTCTACAAAAAAGCGCTCATTTCTGGTTAATGAGCAGCAATACCGTAATCACGTCAATGCCTTGGGAAAGAAACAGGATTAGCACGGGACACCGAAGGGATCGGCTGATGGTGAAATAAAATGAAAGAAATAAACTCACGACTGCTGGCACGAAAAGTGAGTTTAGAGGGCTTCATGGATCTATAATATTTGGAAAAACATATTTAAGGGTTTACGCAGTTTTAACCAACGGCTCGCGCTTTGTGGTAGGCACGGAATTTGAAAACGCCTCTATGCCCCACTTCTCTAAATTATGGGATGTGGTAATCATAAATAAATGCACAGTTAAGATCGTAACATTAAGCGAGTGAGCCATCATTCATTCATCGACTGCTGTCAGCATAATAGGTCAATTTTTCGAGTTATTAAAAAACGGCCGTGATGGGAAATTGCTTCATATTGTGCACAATCGCGCACAATTGTGCCTGACAACTAACTTGGTCAAATGGGATTTGGTCCTTTTGGAAAATGCCCAGAGTGATTGCATCAGTTATCATGATCAATCACCGAAGACGTGCGTTACTGTCGTGCTCGACCAGAAGCCCGTCCAACACCGTTCTCTACTGCCTCACAGACACCCTTCCTAAAGGTCTTTGCATCAGAATGAACCCCGGTCACACTATTCGAATCGACGAGTGATCATTTGCTGTGTCAGAGAGGGGGGCATGGGCAGTTGGGGATGAGTAAGGTTGACTACTAAAGAAAAGTGTGTTGCAGCTTCATTATACCGATCTACTCCCCCCCCCCCCCCTCCCCACCACCACGTCCCTGCTTCTTCCCCGCTCGATGGCTGTCTTAGAGCAAAAAGTTGGCAGAGTTGCGCAAATGTCCACTAACTCTTTCATCAATCAAACAGGCCTCTAGAGATACCTGGTGGTGCTGCAGGGATCGGCACTGAGATCTCTCAAAGAGGTTAGGTGCGTCGCAAACTTTTTGGAAAGTGTAAACGTGGCGGTTGACCCTGCTTCGCATATCTGGAGCTCCCTCCAGGGTCAACCGTCCGTTGGACAAAGTCCAACGCGACGACGAGAGTAATGCCGAGAGTGAACGTACGCACGGAGACACAGACGGCTCGCGGGTGGCGAGAGTGAATGCCGGCGCGGAGAGCGGTGAACATCGGTCCAACGTCGCTCCAATATCGGTCCAACGTAACGGTTGACCCTGCCCCACCTCCGTTAGCTGCGAGAAACGGCTCGTCAAAACCGATTGCTGACATTCGGAAAATTTGTCGACCGAAAAGCATCCATCTAGTTTTCTCTCCATTTGGTGATACTTGATGTTCTCAAAAGTGCTTATGTAACGTTCCCTTTTTCACCTATTTTTCACAGAGGTAATCTCGTTTGTAACTTCTTACGTGCTTGGAACTTTGCAATCGTAAGTAAAATGCACTGTGTGAAATTTTGATGATATGCCATGACCAATACAAACTCTGAGGAGCTTATTTATATCGAATAGCATTTTATTTATGCAAAAACCTTTAAATGGAGGTGGGGCTACTTCGGTCGAGACAAGCTGGTACATTTGTTTCGCGGCGGGCCGTTCGCGAAGTGGGTGGGAACGGAAAGGTTCAATATTTTTGCTACCAGTACCTTTACGTGTTTCAGCATGTACAATGTTGATCACGTCTGAACATACAATAATTGCTTTTCTTCTTATGACGAGGCAAAAAGCCTGTAGTCGCGCAATCAATGAACCGTTAACTATAAAAACCCAAAATCATTTTGACCTACCAGGTAAGGGCGCTATAGCGGCATATCAAACCCGGTAACCAGGGTATGGAGGTAAAACTCCTGTTCGGATCCAACGTCAGGAGCAACCAAGTATTCCATTCCTCCGGTTTTATATGAAGACACGCCCCAGGATTGAAAACAGTGTGGTTCTCGCATACAGAAACATGATAGAGCCCTAGTCGTGTAGGGGTGGGTTACTGCCTAGAAACTGGACGGACAGTGAGAAGAAAAAAGGGAAAGGTTCGCGCAAAAATCTCGAAGATTGAAGGGTTTTAATCAGTATTTGGTTTGGACTGAGCACGGAGGAGGGAGAGTGGGCGAGGAGCGCAACGGATGGGAGTGCGCATACACCAGCGAACGAGGAAAAATTGAAGCGGTTGAAGCGATCTCTGCATGCCCATAGCGCTCTTGTGGCACATTTTAGAGCCGCAGGAGCAAGATGTCTGCGACCTTCGTGACAGCTCTATCCTAAATTCGAAAGGAATTCGTCCACATGAACTCATCCTAGGTTGTGCTTTTTACTACCACCAGACTGATCTGGGAACATGAAACTGGGTTTCAATACTTTAGCTGCCCTTTTAAAACCATTGTATGGGATCGCGATAAATGTAACTGTGAGTAGAATGTGACTCATCTAAACGCTAAGAGCTCCACTTTTTTCTCCTTTCAAGTAGATTTTTGAAAGACGCTGGAGAGAAAGCTTTACTATGGATTCTATAGAGTTCTTCTAATAACAACGATGATTTTCAGGACGATGAGATATCTGAAATCCCCGATGATCACGAATGTATCCGACATACGAAGATTTTCACAAACATTATCCATTTGGCGGCGAAAAATGTCGACGAGCTCGAGCCACAAGTCGCTCCGGCGATTTTCAAGTACGGCGAACGTCATTACAACACAAAAGCGGTAAGTTTTTGTGAATAATACCCTTCACAAGTAAGCTAAATGAGGAGCAGGAGCAAAAAACACCCGCTTTAGGGACCGGGGAGGGATATCTAGCAGCGCACTTGTGCCGCAAAAACGGCACACCACAGCTAAGTCACATCGCGGCGACGCGTGCATTTGTTCCTCTGCGCGTCGAGAAATTGCGTGGCAAACATTATGGGTCAATTCGTTCATTCTTGACACATTACGGTAGCAAATGTCTCGCGGAGGGCGAAGAATAGCGAAAAAAGCCTCACGCGCAACAATCGCCGCACAAGCTGCCGCACGCGGCAATGCGCGTCGCCGCGTCGTGACCTGACGATTTTCGCCCACGTAGACCCACTCTTGATTGTACCTTCTGATTGTGCTCTCCGCACGTGACAAAATTGCGCGGCACGTCACGATCGCGTCAAGTCGCGCGCATTCAATGAATATTCTATGGCCGCATCACTGAAAATCGTGCATCGCGAATGTAGAGCATTTTCCGTGCCTTAAGGGCGGAGTACCTTAATTACGCTTACTCTTCTCATAAAATATGCACGAGATGTGTCCCAAAAATTTACGCAATGGTCCAAATGGGCTACGAGAATTCGTTTGTCGCGTACCTAAACACTCGATTCCAATCCTTGTCGAGAGTAGCGCTCCTCCTGATATGTCATACAGCGTTTTTGAGAGTGTTCTTCATTTTTGGAAAATTGCCAAATATTGATCGATTTAGAGCGACCGTATGACCGAAGAAAATGTTCGGATGGTTTGTGCTCAAGTGGTCTGCACAGTGTGTGATCTGCTGGGTGACGATGCTCATCCGAAAATTGTCGAGGCTTGGATTGAAATGATGAGGTATAGTCCGCTTTTTCATATCGTAATAATTAAAAACCGTGCAGCCCTTGCCAATTGCAAACAGAGGCACATTTTATAACCGTCTCACTCGATTGAGCGTTTAATTTTTAGCGCTTTTTCAGATACCTTGGTCGCAAGCTGCTTGATGGACACGAATATGCTAAACTCACTGCCAAACACCGAATCAGTATAAATCGTAACCGATCACCATCTCTTCTTGATGTTGTGATCCGTGCTATCGATTTATTGATTTATCGGGATGTTCCATCGAGAACTGATCTGTCAACGTTCTTCACGTCGAAGTACCATGCTTGTGAGGTACATATGACATGATCCGTTTACGGTGTTTATGAGGCAACTCTGTGGAGAACGCGAGTGTGGGTCAGGAGGTTCCGACAGCGGTGACGCGCTGAAACCGTGTACCGTGCGCGGTAGCTGACGCGCACGCGTGCCATTTTCGACGCCGCTGTCGGTAATCTTTTGACCCGTGCCGGGTAACGTGGTTCTTAGCACTTTCTTATACGATTCCATCCTATCTTCTGTTGATCAATTCTTTTGGAATCCTGAATCGATTCTCCATATTGTATGTTATTTATCGCGATTTTGCGTCATTCTGCTCATTTCTTCCAGTGTTCACAAACTACCGCGAAATATTCACCGGTATTTTCTATGATTCCAGCAATTAATCCCCTGAGTGAGGTTGTTTTCTTATTCATTTTTTAGGTGGATAGCAAATCAAGGGATGTCACATTAACCTGCTTACGCCTTTAAGCGCTGTAGCATGGCGAGTTTAGGACAACCGATGCGTGCAATCGAGTGTGGGTCAGGACATGAGGATTTCGGCGCCGACCGTCGCACGCGCAAGAAGCGTAGATATAATCATTCACGCCATCGCGTCTTCGCTTAGCGCAGCGCTGCATTTACCAGGTGCCAGCCCACGCCTATTCAGCCCTCACACTCCGATTAAGAACACCCTCTCAGAGAGCAGTTCGTTCACAAGGACGAGAGATCGTCCACAGTGAGAAATTGCGTTTTTGATCCCATTCTGGTCGTACTTAGGCACAAGTCATGGTTAGCCCGCTGTAAATCGGCTTCAGCGACAGCCACGGAGCTATCGCGGTTCAGAATGCTTGTGGTAGATGTGACAGTCCTTACTAAACGGATATCTCACAAAGGGATGGGCATCGTTTCAATTCCATCTCCCAGCCTTTAGGCTTTTTTCGATTATGATCTCCAAGGTTTTTTCGTTCTACTTGAGCTCACAGAGTTCATAGGACGAAACGGTGTCTTTTCCCCTTGTATCGATTAATATTGTATCTTAAGTAACCTCCGGTACTCGTCTGATCTCTCTTGTTATTCCTAATGTCCGGCTGCCATTCGCAGTGTGACGAAAAACTGTGATACATGTATTTTGTAAATTTTGGTTTTGTTTAAGTGTTATTTATAGCTTTCAAAGAATAAATATTCTCTGAATGTTCGGAACAACTTTCTGCAGGAGCATTTGCGCTTTAACTTTATATACAAGTTCCAGCACGTCCACACACCTCAAGAGTATACTTGGGATAAAGGATAAAGCATTTGCCGTTGATTGATCCCTTTTTGGGATGAGGCATGCAGTTCTATTTGTACACTACAGTGGCGTTCGAATGCCATTTGTCCTATACAAAAACTTGCGATGAGGGGGAGGAATCGGACCAGCCGATGAACATCAGTTGTTTTAACGCCGCTCACGGTAGTTCTTTACCGAATATTCGAACCCAGAAGGGTTGACAGCTGGTTGGCCCGGCAACTCACAACTAGGACCGATTCCTCGACCGCCGCGAGTGTGTAGTGGTAAAGCGTGCAACTTGCCAGGGCCACCAACTGTAGCCATAATGTACAGGGTGGGCAAAAATTACGGTAACAAGAGCGCTAACCAAACATCTCGATTTCCTTCGAACCTAATAAATGCACCTGGTTGAAGAGACCCCGGAGAGAAATCACTAGACACAACAGCAAGGTAGACCGCTTGTGCACAAAGCAAATATTGTGCAACATTGGTTTTGCAGAATTTTCCGAATTCATGCCATTGAACGAGGGGCCACCTTATTTTCCCGTGTTAAAGCAAGTGGGTTATTTTCCGTGGAGTCTACTGAAGACGATGGGCTACTACGAGTATCACTAAAGCATCGACGAATTAAAGAAGATCCTAGGGTAAGCTCGATGTCACCTACCTACACAACAGGCCATATGCGTTCCCGAGATGACTTCATTCAGGTATAAACGCAAACAGCGGCCAGTCCAAGAAGTGATGTTGTATTCTGTCTGGTGACCTCCTATGAATACATTGTTGGGGTCCACGTGTGTCTTGCTGGCCGAATTGCTCTTCCATGAACACTTTATCCTGTTACCGTAATTTTTGCCCACCCTGTACTATAGACGTTAAACCAAAAATCTTGGGTTCTCTTTTGCGGGCCGCCAGAGCCCCCTTATGGTCGCGATCTTGCTTCTCCCTAAAGAAAGGGCATCAAACCACAAGCCTTCAAGGCGCATGTGGACTCCATCAGCATTCGCTTCAAAACCGCGTATTATGCGGTGATGTAGTTTCTGCGAACTGATATTCTTAATGTGCCAATGGTAAGGGCAACTTGGTAGCGCATTTGCATGGTCTAACAAGGGATAAGTGTTTCGAGTTACACCTGAGGCAAAAGTTTTGTTATAACCAAGTGTCCTTATTGTTATGCCTAGCTTTTGTTTCTCAATGTCCTACTGTGTACTTTGGGTACAAAATCTGTTACACGGCGAGTAAGGCATTCCAGCAATTGACGAAATAGCGCAGTGGGTAGTGCTGCGGACTTGCACACAAAAGGTATGGGATCAATTCTATGCCGAACTCTGGCTCTTGCTTTATTTACAAGGGTGGCAATCGAATGACTTTGAAATGAGATGTACCTTTTGAGATGTGTTTCGTACCCCATGTATAAAGCTGTCCTCTATATCTGCTGTGGAAAACTACGAACACAAGGCGTGATTGCGGCTTCGTTGGTAGCCGAATGGCTAGCTTGTTTGGCTCACGTTCTCATGGCCAAAGGTTCGAATCTTTAGAAGAGCTTGCCTTCATTTTCATTCAGAAATACCATTTGCGGATTTGGAACCACTTGCCTAGTTTGCTCCCTCTAATGTAATGCTTTGGAATTCCCATGAAACTTTGAATGAATACCTGAGTTATTGATAATGTTTAAAACGCTGACTACAAATATGAACCCTCATATTGCTACATGAATTTTTAAGAGAATTATGAGCCCTCAAAATCGGCGAAAAAATGTTCACGAGGTGAGCTAATCTCTACACCAGCCTAGACGATGTGACGACGGTAGGCTTCTCGATTGGCGCCAGAAACCAATCTCATATTCGTGATCGCAACACCCGCTAACCCCTATAGGCAATTAGCGAAATTTGAGAGTTACACCTAACTTCGGAAAGTGGGAGGCCTACCATACTCACTTCCGAGAACCAGGTGCGCGTCGAGTGCAGACCACACACCACAAGTGACGACGAAGTAAATCTGGTAACTAGTGGTTCATAGTGATAGCTGATAGTTGGTAAATGATAGTTGTAATTAGTGACAACTGATAGAATACAACTGCAACAGGCTAATCATTTCATTGGCAGAAAACATTTACATTTTGTGGAGGCCGTCGTCACTTGTGGTGTGTGGTCTGCACTCGACGCGCTTCTGGTTTTCGGAAACAAAGGGTCCATAACTTGAAAATTCGCTACACTGTCGTAGAACTTGGAGGAAAGAAAAATGGCAAAACTAGCGACACGTCTGGGTGACGCTTTACGGATGAACCAATACATCCTTCCATAGGTATATTTGGTATCACTTCGAGGCAGAACGAAATACTGTCGAGGAATTCCTCGATCATGGCTCTCTACTGTGCGAGAGTAGTGCCGAGAGTGAATGTACGCGCGGAGAGCACAGACGGCTCGCGGTGGCGAGAGTGAATGTCGCGCGAAGGGTGTGATTGAACAGGCGAAAATCCTCGACGAGATCTTGCCGTTTCCTCGACCGATTTTCTCCCTGCTTCAAAGTCCATGGAATCGGCCCGGCTGTCGACCGGTGCCCTAACCAGTGGAAGGGGAGAACCTTCATCACACCTCCATGACAGAGAAGTGAACCTTTTACTTGTCATTGATTGTACCCACGTCGAGCGACCGATCGACCTCAGTGCCTTTTCAGCTCGTAGGCCAAAGCCCATCTGGGAGTTCATCGCTCATCCGTTGGCAAAGTAGTGATATGGTGGTGCATATATTGTGATAGATAGGCTGCCTTGAAAATGATAACACTAAACGAGTTCAATATACAGCAAACTTCTGAGACATAGTAAGTTAAAGAAACTAGCGAATGTTGAAAATGCAAAAAATCGTTTTTGCTGACTCCAACAACGAAACCGCGGACGAAAGGGAAGAAGAAATTATCAAAGGTATAACGAAGGAAATGAAAATATGGAAGGGATGAGAAGAATGTGGGATCAGCGGGAGTGGGTGGGTGCAAAACTATTGATCATGTGAGGGGGGGGAGTCCACGCAAGTGTGAGTGGCGAAACGTAAAAGTGAAGACGCTGGACCGTGCACAATATACAACTGTGTTCATTTTGAAGGAACCGCTTTTTAAGGACAGTAACATTTCTTGACGAGGACCTTCTATTAGCTTTTACACTGTTCCGTAAATGTACACCTACATTTCATAAATGATAAAGGATCTACAGCAAACATCACGAAAATTTTACACAAAAAAAAACATGCTTGATGGCACTAATGTAGGCCAGCCACATGACATTACATAAACCTCAACTTATGATGAAGATCATGCAAATGAAAACATCGTAAAAATCTACAAATGACACTCATAATACTCATCCGCAGCTATTCAGCCCACGAACATATTCTGAGGTTTCATCACCATTCTGGCTTTTTTCCAGAGCCAAAAGCCGCTCCTTCAGAACTTCGTCGAAAATGGACTTTTCTCCATGTGTGTTTCGTTGGAGAATTCTTCGCAGCCGCTTCTCTCTCTTTCTTTTGTATCTGCTCCCTTCTTCTCTTTAGTTTCCCACATCGTCCGCGTATTTACGTGCATAGTAGCCAACAGTGAACAAAAAGGATACATCGACAGAGGACTGGAAAGGTCAAATTAAATAAAAAAGCAGGAATTAGCCCACGCAATATGGGGAAAACCTGGAACTCACTATTGGATTTCCTTTCGACAGTAAAATCGGTCTAAGGCCTTTCTGAGATCGTATATGAGATTCTCCGTAAGTTGAATTTCGCAATATCTTGCTGAAGATCCGTCAGAAACCTTTTCAATTGTGGACGATTTGCGTCAGCATGAGTACTCGGACATGCTTGAACAGGTCTATAGCACTTTCGTAAGGTAGTCAGTTTTTCCTGAACGGAATTTGTTTATTATCGTCTGATTAACAGAACTGGACTCGAAAATCACATTATTTCTAGAAATCTTTTACGCTCCGATATGTACACCTCTAACATGCATCAGGCATGTGTTGAAGATAGGAACCGCATCCACTCCGTTGTTTATTCCATACTCAATGCAACGCCACAAATGGTTTTTTATACGTTTGTGCCACGCCCCAATCTGCTCACAATCATGAGAACTTGCAGCCTGCAACATATTTCTACTCTACACTTCCACTACATATTTTTATACAATGGTTCTCACCCTTTCTAAGTTTGATCATCAACACCATTTCAAACGATAACCTCAGGGAATAATAACGGATGACCGCAAAACTGCTCCACCATGCTTTTTCGAAGCGTTGAATAAAGGTTCATTTGAGTAGAGGAATAAACCGATAACAGCGATGAAATTTTCGACACACCCGAATTCTCGCTTCTCTGAAGGTCCATTTGAAAGTTGAGATTACTAGATCAGAGTATTGATAAGAACAATGCACCCGTTCGTGATTGAAGGAGCACTTCATTATGTAAAATCAGCTTGCTTCGTCCATCACCAAGCGCTATGTTCCCCGTTATAGGACATTGTGCCGCTTGACGTACGCTCCATCTGCCGTCACATGGACACCTGTGCGTCCCTAAAATGCCAAAATCTGACGCAAACAACGACTAATTGATTTGCAAGATTTACCTCGTACTGAATTTTTATTTCAGGTGTTTGATGAGAGACAGAAACTTTCTCGATGACAGGCTGCATCCACTCGAAAACTTTCCAGAGGAACGATCTTGTCGGCAGCGCTAATTTGAATTGTTCCCCCCACCGTTGGATATCCTGAATATGATCAAATCAATCAAAAATTAGAACCAGCTAGGAAAAACTCGTATTTTTCATGAATCGATGGGCTTTCATAAGCATCACAAAATGGGAAAATAGCAAGTTCACTATAAAACACTTGAGGAAAAACACACATGCTTCAATTTCGCAGGTCTGTGGAAGAGTTCAGCATCGCATGCTATATCAACGCGCTCCCTTAGTCAAGAGAAATTGTGTACAGAACCAGAGTCGCTATGTATGCATGGTTACAAGGCTTCTGTCAACCAAAGGGTGAGAGCGTAGCTGGAACACACATTTGTGTCTTATTGGGACTAAGCCTTTTGAAGAAGATAAAGAAAGAGGAGATGCTGTGATAGTGTGCACTTGTGAGAGCTCCCAGACATCACTACAAAACGCTGAACCGCCAAGCCTCACGGTTGACAGAAGTCCTGAGACCGTGTATGCATATATGCGATTTCAGCCGCAGCGATTTTTGGGCATAGCCAAGCCGAAGTGCCCAAAAAAGCTACTTCAAAATGACGATAAAAGTTCAAGCAGTATAGCTCCAAGAACCGTAACGTTACAAATGTAGCACAGTGAGGATGAACTTCTTGTTCATGGGCTGCAGAAATTTCTCAACGTTTGGATTTGATAACAATAAAATACTCCACCATAAACGGAAGGCCAGTCGTAACAGCGGCGACCGAAGCAGCCACGTTGGTTTTGTAGGTCTCCTCTTTCTCGTGTGGAACAGTTGTCTTTTGACTTTCCCACTGTTTGATCTCCGTGCACGGCTTACAAACGGTGCACGCGTACTTTTACTACGGCCACAGTATCGACGGCCGTCAGCTGTACTTTCCTCAGTTTGAATCCGCAATTCGGACAGAATTGGAACAACTCCAACAACATTTCTCCTTCAACAAGATAATTGCGCTCAAGTGCACCCGTGTCGGTCTCCTTACTACAGCTTGCAAACTTAGCATCGCTTGTCAAGGTAGATTCGTCCAAGTCAGGGTCTGATTCTTCTTCGGGCTCGTACTCCGAATCCGACTTGCCTTTGGGCTTGTACTCGGAATCACTCTGAAAGTTAAGCAACTAAACTGACTGGTTGTTTATACTAACAATAAGCGAACAATGCTGAAACCAAATTACCGATTCTACTGAGGCTACTGATTCTTCGTCGTCTTCGAAGATATCATAGATCACTTCTTTAATGTCATGCTCCACCTGGTTCGCAGTGGCAGTACTCCCTCCTTGTAATAGTTCTTCAACGGAATATTTTTGATCGAAATCCTGGGGATATTCTTCGGGAGTTGCCTCCTTCTGAATAAAAACTGCATAACTTTTAAAACCACATGGAATGGTGACAGCATTTCTCGAACCTCTCCTTGACCCGGCCGCAGCCACAAAGGGGTACCGTAATAACCGTCGCAGTACATCGTTGAGAAATTTACACACTTCTCTAAATCCTATTTCAACATCAACCTTAACAAAGTTACTTTTAGAAAAAAAAGATAGCACACTATCAAGGAGGACTTACACCTATATTTTTCCCATTAGCATTGAGAAGATCGATAATATGAGCAGGTATATCAAGCAAAGTGACGTAGGCTCCAATAGAGCCGCCTTCATATAGTCTATACCGTTTCCCCACCAAGGCCATTTCAGTAAACATACATTGCGCCTAAAAAGAATAGATATACGGCTACTGACTAAATAAGTTCGAAAAAAGGAAACTTACTGCTTGAACAAAGTGTTTATGGCATACAGTGTGTTTCTCTTTTAAGCAGCATATTCGATACGCACACTGTGCAGAAGACGCAGAAGCACAACCGAATGAGTAAAGCGAATCAACAAGTATCGCATTAGTGATTTTTGACAGTGAGCATTTCCTCAAATGATCCTTGGCGAGACTCCGATGACAGATCGCGCAATCTGGCATGGTTGAAAACTGGAATTTGACAAATGAAATGCTTATGAGGTGGGAGAATGCAGATGTAAGAAACCCAAAACCAGAAGCGTTACACCTGGGCAGAGGTAGCCCAGCAACTCTAGGTGCCACGAGCATTGCATTATTCACGACTTATTTGCCGAAGATTCCTATGTGCCTAATTTTATTTGGAGTCTATTCCAGTTAAGGGGGTGGGGCATCATTCTATGTTTTTTCAGAAAGCCAGGGTAACTCCGAGCCAGTGGGAGTGTAGCCACTCTATCCCTAACTGGAAAGACCCTTTCTTTGTTCTGAGCTTGCCTGCGAGGATAGGAACACGACCCAACGCGCATAGTTGTAATTATTACCAATTTCTGCAGCTTCGAGTGAAAACTCGATGCTGCGCATCTTACTTAGTGTTAACTTCTTATTTCTACAGAAGTGAGCAGTTTCCATTTACCCGAATTTCTTCTCTTTTCCAAGCATTAGTCGTAAAGACCGCGCGGTTGTTTCAAACACAATGGCTCCACCTTCCCCGCCAAGCAAGCGTAGGCGAAAGCTCTGCTGGCCAGCATCTCTAAAGGTTCGTTCTCATCTCCCTCCATGACATTGTTTTAGTAATTTACTCCCTGTTGAATGAATCTTGTAGGTTGAAATAGTGTTTGGACGGGTAGTTTCCTAAATAGCTTTCGACTTTTCCAGGCTCTGAAGAAGGTGAAAGCACCGAAACGTCGGCCAAATAAAGCTATTGACAATCTTGGTCGGAAGCTCAGTACTAAACTATACTATAAGAAGGATAATCAAAGCATTGGCAATGGAAGGTAACACGGGCCTCATTCAGTAAGGCTGATGTCAGAGTCCGCGATCCTTTGCGCGATTTTCGCGATTTTCGCGAAACCTGCGATGGATCACAGGAGTTGGAAGTGCCCGATGAATACTGCGAGGTGTTGTTTAATCCTGCTGCGAATTCTGCTTGGCAGTAAAGATTGGAAGACGAATGTTTGTGGTTCTACTTGTTTCATGTTCAATGTCTATTAGTTCATTGAAATGCTCTTGAATCGTTCCTATTTTTTTTTTTCAGGAATCAAACCAAACCAATCACAAAAATTGCAAGTGCCCCATTTGAACAATTGAAACACTGGATATGAAACAAGTGGAATCATGAGCAGTCTCCATTAAACCATAACCATCAAGCAGAAGTGACGGCGGGATTGGAGAACACCTTGCAGTATGGATGGGGCACTTGTGATTTCCGTGACCCGTCGCGCAAATCGCGCAAATCGCGAAATCGCGAAAATCGCGCAAATCGCGAAAATCGCGAAAATCGCGCAAAGATCGCGGACTCTGACATCAGCCTAAGGGGGCATGTGATGCGATAGTTCATATTGCATGAAGTAATCCACTTTTTTCAGAGAGGGAAGCTCCGGGGTGGGTGTAAAAGTTTAAGCGAAATGGTTCACGCACCCCGGGGATTCCCTCCCTTGCAAAAATTGGAATTTCTGTAGCCGGCAAGAACTGTCACACCACATGCCCCCCCCCCTTATTGGATGAGACCCGGTAACACTCGGACTAATTGTAAGCTCAAAGGAGAGTAGTGCGGGAAGGAACTTCTATTCCTCAAAAGAGGCAGATGCAAATTTTCATTGAAATTTTATTTGGTTGGGGCAGGAATACCGGGAAAAACGGGGAATACTACTGCTCCCCAAAGGATCTCCCCCATCCATATGTAGTGTTAGGTTCATAAACCCACGTTCACAAAGGGGGGAGGGAGAGTTGGCAGCTGATCCTCGAGAATGCGATCCCCCGCTCTGTTTGTGACCAAAATGCGTCCTCTCCGTTTGAATAGTGCAAATGGACGACTGAGTTTGCTAGGCACCATAGGTCCTTGAAAGGTACAACTATCTTCATTCGAGGTAAATACACCTTTACTTACTATTTCAACGAAGGAACATTTTATTAGCTTTATCCTTTTCCCGTATAACAACTGTAACAGCTAAATTTCAAGAATGATAAAAGATCTGCAGCAAATATAACGAAAATGTCACAGAAAAGCAAACTAAGAAATGGCACTAATGTAGGCCAGTCACATGACATTACAGAACCCTTAATCACAATGAAGATCAGACAAATGAAAACAGAAATCTACAGATTTCTCTCATAATATTCATCCGCAGCTATTAGCCCACGAACATATTCTGAAGTTTCATCACCATTCTGGCTTTTTTCCAGGGCCAAAAGCCGCTCCTTCAGAACTTCGTCGAAAATGGACTTTCTCCATGTGTGTCTCGTTGGAGAATTGGTCGCCAGCCGCTTGTGTCTCTTTCTCTTTTGTATCTGCTCCCTTCTTCTTTTAGTTTCCCACATCGTCCGCGTATTTACGTGCATAGTAGCCAATAGTGAACAAAAAGGATACATCGACAGAGGACTGGAAAGGTCAAATATAAAAAAAAGCAGGAATTAGCCCACGCAATATGGGGAAACCCTGGAACTCACTACTTGGATTTCCTTTCGACAGTAAAATCGGTCTAAGGCCTTTCTGAGATCGTATACTACGATGTCTCCGTAAGGGCTTGAATTCGCAATATCTCGCTGGAAAGATTCTGTCAGAACAATGTTTTCGAACTTGTGGAAGGCTTTGCCATCAAGCATGAGTGACTCGTGACATGGCCTTGAAACAGGGTCATGATAGCACTTCGTATAAGGTCCAGTCAGTTTTTCCTGAAAAAAGGGGTACTTCTAGTATTACCACTCAACGTAGGCTGCTGCTAAATTTCTCCAAAACCACGTTTACCTCCGGCCATTTATGTACACCTCTAACATGCATCAGGCATGTGTTGAAGATAGGAACCGCATCCACTCCGTTGTTTATTCCATATTCAATGCAACGCCATAAATGGTTTTTTATACGTTTGTGCCACGCCCCAATCTGCTCACAATCATGATAACTTGCAGCCTGCAACATATTTCTCCTCTAATCTTCAACAACGATTTCCATTCGATGGTTACGTACCTTTCTAAGTTCGTCCTCAAACCATTTCAACAGATAACATCCAGGGGAATAATGACGGATGGACCCGGCAAACTGCTCCACCTCTTTTTGAAGCGGTTGAACTAAAGGGCTGTCGTTCGAAGTGAGGGAGGAAACCGATGAGACAGACGATGACAATTTTTCAAGCACACGCCGAAAGTTTTCGCTTTCTCGAAGGTTCCCATTTCCTGAAATCTTTGAGATTAACCATTTGATCAGACGTACTTGATAAAACAATGCACCCTTTCGTGATTGAAGAAGCACTTCATTATGTAAAATCAGCTTGCTTCGTCCATCACCAAGCGCTATGTTCCCCGTTATAGGGACATTGTGCCGCTTGACGTACGCTCCATCTGCCGTCACATGGACACCTGTGCGTCCCTAAAATGCCAAAATCTGACACAAACAGCGACTAATTGATTTGCAAGATTTACCTCGTACTGAATTTTTATTTCTTCCAGTACTGGTGTTTGATGAGAGACAGAAACTTTCTCTATGACAGGCTGCATCCACTCGAAAACTTTCCAGAGGAATGATCTTGTCGGCAGCGCTAATTTTGAATTGTTCCCCCCACCGTTGGATATCCTGAATATGTATTTATTTATTTATTTATGTTTAAGCTACACTGCAACAGGTGCGCACAATAAAAACCGAATCATGACACCGCTATGTCAACCAAATAAAAATCAGAACCATCTGTGGAGAGAAACAGTACACCCAGACTTTTTTTTGAATCGATAGACTTTTACATGAGCATCACAAAATCGAAAGAAGGCGCAGTTACAGAAAAAAAAAACACAGTAAGGAAAAACCACATGGCTCCTCAGCTTTCAGTTTTCGGTAGATTTCAGCACGGCAACGCCATTTCAACGTGCTCCTCAAGTCAAGAGAGAACGTGCAGAAGGAGCGGTCGCTATATTTGCAAACCTTCGTGATTTTCAAATTATCTTAAGCTATTCGAAGATTTTCAGATAGCTTAAGATAATTTCCCCATGCCGCTCGTTTCCTCCCTGCCTCCAGAGCTGAGCAGGAGGAAACGAGCGGCATGGGGAGCATTTACGAACATCGAGGGAGTAGTGAAGAAGACGAAGAACATCCGGCTCCGTGCCCACCTCTTCGATTCCGCTGTCCTTCCTGCCCTAACCTACGCCTCAGAGACTTGGACTCTGCGCAGGCAGGACGAGCATGCGGTCAGCGTTATCCAACGCGCTGTCGAGAGGACGATGCTAGGAGTAACCCTATACACGCAAGTGCAGAGGGGAATCCGGAGTTCGGAACTACGCCAACGATCGAAGATCAGGGACGCTGCCGTTTTCGCCAAGGAATCGAAGATAAGGTGGGCCGGACACGTCATGCGATTTTGCGATGACCGTTGGACCAGAGCGGTTACCGACTGGATCCCTCGGGACGTCAAACGAACACCTGGACGACCGCCGGCCCGATGGTCAGACTTCTTCACGAAAGCTCTGAACGAAAGGAATGATGGACTTCGTGTCCCTCGAGCAGGAGGATCCCTAGCTCGCGACAGGGACGAATGGAGACGTTGCTAGCGCCCGCTCGAGCAAATCGACGATTGCAACGGGCACGAGAGGTATACAGGTGCATGAAGGATTTTTAGCAAACGCGGCTCCTTTGGCCCAGGCATACAGCGTGGCCGCCCGCATTTTTATTCTAAAAAAATATAGCTTCAAAGAATGTATAAGCACTTACAAATGTAGCAAGGCAAGGATGAACTTCTTGTTAATGGGTGAAGGAAATCTCTCAAAATATAGATCTAATACCAATTGAAAACTCACCATGAACGGAAGGCCAGTCGTAACAGCGGCGACCGAAGCAGCCACGTTGGTTTTGTACGTCTGCCTCCTTTCTCGTGTGGAACAGTTGTCTTTTGACTTTCCCACTGTTTGATCTCCGTGCACGGCTCACAAATGCCACACGCGTATTTTACAACGGCCACAGTATCGACGGCCGTCAGCTGTACTTTATCCAGCTTAGTTCCGCAATTCGGACAGAATCGAAACAACTCCATCAGCACTTTCTCCTTCAACCAAGATAATTGTGCTCAAGTGCAGTTGCATCGGTCTCCTTAGTGCAGCTAGCAAACTTGTAATCGCTTGTCAAGCTAAATTCATCAGATTCAGGGTCAGATTCCTCTTCCGGCTCGTACTCCGAATCCGACTCGCCTTCGGGCTTGTACTCGGAACCATTCTAAAAGTGTAACAAAAATGATTGGAGGATTAACTAAGCGAACAACACTGAAATCAAATTACCGATTCTACTGAGGCTACTGATTCTTCGTCGTCTTCGAAGATATCATAAATCACTTCTTTGACGTCATGCTCCTCCTGGTTCGCAGTGGCAGTACTCCCTCCTTGTAATAATTCTTCAACAGGAGTATTTTTGATCGACATCCTGGGGACTTCTTCTTCGGGATTTGCCTCCATCTGAATGGTGAACTGCTTTCAATACCCCATAGAATGAAGACAACAGTTCTCGAACCTCTCCTTGACCCGGCCGCAGCCACAAAGGGGTACCGTAATACCGTCGCAGTACATCGTTCAGAAATTTCCATACGTCTCTAGTTCCTATTTCAACATCAACCTTAACATAGTAAGTTTCAGAGAAAAGGCACTTAATTATTAGGTAGGACTTACACCTATATTTTTCCCATTAGCGTTGAGGAGATCGACAATATGAGCAGGTACATCAAGCAAAGTTACGTAGGCTCCAATAGAGCTGCCTTCAAATGGCGTATAGCGTTTCCCCATTAAGGCCATTTCAGTACACATACATTGCGCCTAAAAAGAACAGATACGTTAACTACTGACTAAATGAATTTGGAAAGGGAAAACTTACCGACTGAACGAAATGCCTATGGCATACAAGCTTCCCTTTCAAGCAGCATTTTTGGTACGCAGACTGTGCAGAAGATGCAGAAGCACACCCAAATGCGTAAAGCGAACCAACAAGTATAGCATTAGTGATTTTTGACAGTGAGCATCCCCTCAAGTGAGCCTTTGCAAGCTTCCGCTCGCAGATTGAGCATTTTGCCGGCATAGTTGGGAAGTTGGAACTGCAAATTTGATGAATGAATAGGTTATGAAATGTGAGAACGCTGTTATAAGAAAGACAAAATAGAAACGCCACACTTGGTTATTCTAGAAAGGCAGAGGCAGTTGGGCAGGTATAGGTGCCACAAACAGCTTGCATGATTCACGGGTTCAGCCAATGCTCCCTTTCTGAAGCCATTTTTTGTTGCAAGCTCGTCTGAGAGGACCGGAACACATCCCTAACTTACAGATTCATAACTAAACCATTCTACAGCTCTAAGTGTACCTACCTTTGCATTATCTTTTTATACCTGTGATATCTATGATTTTCACTTTTCTTTAAAGGCCGTAGCCATAATATAAATAGTCAATTAACTAGTATCGGTCTAGGAGTTGAACTGTAATCCCGCACTCAGATGAAAACTTCGCACCTAACTTGGCAAGGTTATGGCCATTATTGACCCACTACAGCGAAAAAAGTTTGGAGACCTTTCCAAAGAATTTTGAAGTCTCACATTGGTTCAACACAGTTTAAAGGATTTCATTCAATTCAGATTCTCAGGCACTACAGGAAGGGTGTGGTTTGCTAAGACAGTGAGCCACTTTTCCGTTTTGTTAGCGCTTGCGGGAACTCCAGGTCCACCGCTGGACCTGGGGCGGTATTCAATCCTTCCCCCAGGGGGATATATCCCCCTACTCTGATTCAATCCTCTGGGGGGACAAAAAAGGGTTGCGTCATAGGACCTAGCATACCTCTGTGTTTCTACCTGCCAGACAGTTAGAGCAGCGCGACCCCTCAGGGGAAAGAGTGCTTCATCAGTGGAGGGTAGTAGCGCTGCTCTAACTGTCTGGCAGGTAGAAACACAGAGGTATGCTAGGTCCTATGACGCAACCCTTTTTTGTCCCCCCAGAGGATTGAATTGAATCAGAGGAGGGGGATATATCCCCCTGGGGGAAGGATTGAATACCGCCCCAGTCTCTGATTGAGAAGTTTTTGTGTTGCGGAAAGCGGAAGAGTAGCTTTTTGTACAAGCAAACCCCTACCCCTACAGAGACACGTAAATTTCATTGCTGAATCAATTCTCATGCATCAAAGATTTCAATGCGTCCTATAAAGTGAGGTGAGGCCTTCATTATAGGCACGCTATAAAATAAAAACGTAAGAATAGTCCATATCTGAGAGCTGGGGTAGGCGTGTCACCGGCCACAGTAGCCCCACTTGATAGATTCAGCGCGGATAAGCTGCTTCTCAACAAATATAGCTGGATATCAGAAAAGCATGCTGGCAACAGCTTATCCATGCAACTCTATCAAGGGGCGGTAGCAGCCACGTAACTTCCAGTGGCACGCCTCCCCAACTCTCGGATGTGACATAAATATCGAGAAGGGAACTAAAAGACACCAACCTTGCTTTACGTAAACTTCTTCAAACCTTCCGGAGACTAGCCAATTTCAATTAGACGGAACCCATACAGACAGAAGCACCACTGCCTGTGCCGGCAAGGCGGACCCGCATCAAAGCTTGAGTGACCTTACCCCCTTGCCATGCGGAGTTGTTACCTTCAGCCTAAAGACACAAATATGATTTCTCTCGAGTAACTATTAAATTGACGGATACAAGATGCAATTTTGTCCAAGATGGAGAGAAATAAGTAACAGCAATAAACACAAAACATAGCAGAAATATTCCATACATTTCAACAATCTTCGCGCGTACAACGTAACTCAATCCCGGACGTGACTTCAATAAGAAATCAAGGACAGAAGACATGTGAGGCTCCACTTTAAGAAAAGGGAAAATATTTATAATGAAAAGCACACTTTTCTTAAGTAACATCACGCCGAAAACTTGCTTTTGCTCTTTAACAAGAAGGTTTTCTATTCAAAAGCAGGGAATCCTTTGCACAGCTGGCCACTATTCCGTTCGCTGCGTCACGGTCGCCACTGTCGCGGTCTTTCCTGATTGGAGCAAGAAATCCATACAAGATAGGATGTGAGATAAAGAAGGGAAACCCGGCACTACGTGCTGAGCGAAGACCTGCCCTGTAACAGAGTCAGGGCTAGCAGCCCACGCTCGCTTCCTTGCAGGGGGCTAAGTCTCCACCGCAAGGAAGGGGTTAAGTGAGGCGGAGTTCATTACTCCCGTCTTCATTCCATAATCCTTTGCGCAGGCGCCTACAAAAAATTCTAAAAATCGATCCCATCACCCTTGGGATTATCCCCTAAGCTTGGGTAAAGCAGTTGCGAATCTCAAGGAATGATTATGAACGCCTCCCCGACGCTATCAAGCCTGGCTTCACCGAGCCACCTTCCCCTCCTGCTTTCAAATATTGTCGCGCCTTGGGACATTTTGCCCCGGTCGCAAGAGATCACTTCACCGTAAAAACTTCTCACTGCTAACAAGAGGAAACTTCATCAGAACGCATATTACAAATGCTATGTACCGGTCCAAAATGTTCATTGAAGGCAGCGGTGCGCTGGCTGGGAGGCAGAGATGTGAGTGCAGCGCCTTGCAGGCGCAGCTCAGATTCCTTGACGGTGACTCATGTTTTGCTTTCAGGGCGTGGCGATGGAGCGATCAGCTTCTTCGAGGAGTCGACCTGCCTCTCGGACCGAGGACGCTCGGATCCGACCTTCTTCCCATCTCTTGGGCGAAGCCCTGCTCTCTCGAGGACTAGTGATCTCACCCACGTGGTGCTTGCTCTCCTGCCTATGTGCTTATGTTCTTGCGGTAGTTGGACGTAAGCAAACCAGCCCTTTTGGCACATCGGCTGGGACCGTATGCTGAATGTTGGGGAGGGGATGGTGTCCCCGACGGTGGACGGACAACTTCAACGCGGTCCTTAGAACCGCCACAATTTGGCGCTTACCTTAGAACTAAGCCTTAAAGAGAGGACGGGTCCGTCCCCTCTCCTAGGCTTAGTTCCACCTAGTCCAAGGGTGAGCAGACCGGTCCTTCTGGCGAAGCTACTGGACCAGCTGCACCACTTGCGTCAGTACTCTCCTATCGTACCAACCGAGTTGAAGTAAACCGTCGACCGTTGGGGACCCCATCCCCTCCCCAACATTCAGCATACGGTCCCAGCCGATGTGCCAAAAGGGCTGGTTTGCTTACGTCGTTGGTGCTCTTTTATCCAGATGGTTGCTGTGG